GGATAAAACTAGCTCCGACTGGGAAAATACGGGAAAATAATTTTGAACAGTCATCCAACTCGGAATTCCAAGTCGGGATTTCGGGCCTCTTTCTAGAGGCCACAAGAAGGACCGCCGCGCCACCTTCCTGTTCAATTGAACACAGCACAATAAGGTGAGTCCAAAAATGTATTGTATGCTGCTGCCTAAATTATGTAATATGCCAGGGAGATATGTATACTGTAGCCAAGAAATGAATACTAAGTGTATGTTCTGACTTTCAGTTTGTGGGCACCGTTTGTAAACATTATAGTGCAATGAATGTATTGTTTAGTGTTGTGTAGTGGCTTTGCTGGCATGCATCCCAAATATTGTTTTTTTTTGCGTCACCAAGATTTACATGCTAAAATCGCAACTGGTCTGTCCTATCTCCCCATGAATCTGATTGGCCCTTAAGATCCAGCACATAGCGAGGTCGTGACGCCATCATGCTGCTCTTCATGGTACCCACTCATACTTTGGAAAACAAAGAGATTACTTCCTTTAAAGACAGGGAAAACCCGAACTCCACCACAAACACAGGCATTGTCAGTGCTCCAATATGCCGTGACTGGCTAACAAATTTGCTGGAGCTGAGAGTGGTTTAAATCAGCCCAGATTGTTGCACAAGGGAAGATTCATAGACTTCCCAGGACAGCGGTGAAACAGGATCCCTGATGTACTTACCATGGTACCAGCACAGCTCTTTTTCTCCCATCAGCAGATATACTCTTGCATTGATGGTTGTCATTGAAAGATGGTTGTCATTGATTGTATGCCGTCCTCGTTATATTATGTGTGAGTGGTTGGTGAATACATTCATAACAATGATACATCACAATACGCTATAAAAGTGACGCTACATTTTCCAGGAAGTAGCCTTGTCGAACTTCACCCTTTTGAATGGTCTTCAATGGGCAAAAATGTACCGCAATGGTCTTAAGCAAAAAAACTTAAAAGGCATCTGGCAGAAGTAAATTCATCCACAAACAATTTTATATACATCTTAAATGACCACATTTTCACGCATTTGATGATATAATCGTCAAGCCCATTCAAAAGATCTGGGGACTGCCCCCGGAAGTATGTTGTAATGCCGCATCACTTTCATAGCCTATACTAAGCAAAAAGTTATTTTAGATATTCAAGTCACAACAGCTATAAAAGGTCAAAGCGTAGGTAATGAAGAGACGAAATTAGGTGATTTCAAAATGATTTCAGAAAACATAAAAAGGCATATAAGACAATATTATACCCTATCAATTGCAACAATTAAACATGGTGAATTTTTACAAACTCTCACCATAAAATATTAACACCCTATCATAATTTCATAAATATAGACCTGGCTACAACTCTCTAACAACACACTCATGTGAGCAGTCTGCTTTGAGGTGGCTATCCATTATGAACATTTTGAACTATAGTGCAAAGTTCAAGGTCTTTTATATTTTACATTTACATTTTAGTCATTTAGCAGACGCTCTTATCCAGAGTGACTTACAGTTAGTGCATACATTTTCATACTGGCCCCCCATGGGAAACAAACGCACAACCCTGGCGTTGCAAGTGCCATGCTCTACCAACTGAGCTACAGGGGACTACATACTTTTTTATATACTTTAAGATTGAGAGCCCTCAGTGACACTCCATTAAATCACATTGTTTAACAAAAATAATAAGTGAATCCAGTAAAACACAGCATTGATCACTTGCATTTTATTTGAGCTCCAGTGTTATATACTGTAGCAGCATTACCACAATCATTTAACATTCTTGTACTGTAGATGGCACTCTATTGTCATAAATCATCCCAGTTTCCCCGTCGTTTTGTTGTGCGCAAAAAGCAGCAAAAATGTTACATGATGAACATCCCTGGATAAGATATAAATTCACCAAATCTCCATTAACACATATAATCACTCTTATTCATGGGGCATACATAATACTTATACTTAAAGTACATTATATTGAAATGATCTCATGGTCAAGTTATACAAGCTAGATAATAAGCAAGGTTTTAAGACTTTTTTTTTGTCCCTTAGATATCTAGGGCTGTAATGTAATGTGTCTGAACAAGGCAAGACCTGTGTTCTGTGGATACTTTATCAAAAATGTTTCAGAAGTTAAAGTACATAAGACTGAATCCCTGAACCAGATTAGTTAAGTCTAATTATTTTATTTAAAACATATCATCCAACCCATGTAACTATCCATTTCTAACTCCAGTTTTCTTAAATAAAAGGTCAGTTCTGCTCAACATCTAAGACTACATAGGATCAGTATTATTTGAAGAGGGGTTGAAATATCTGGCGAGTGCTTTTTTAATATAATTAATTCTATCAATTGTATGACCATCATTTCTTAAAACATAAGATTAATAAAAATCGAATGAAATGCATAGAACAGAAGTGGCATGTTTGCATTTGTATAGTAAGTAACATGCATGATATATAATTGTCTGGAGTTCCCCTTCACAGAACTAGTAATCAAATGAATGAACCTTCAGCTGTCCAGTATTGTTGTCAATAAGATCGACTTTAAATCAACCTAAATGTGTTACTGTGTTGCATATTCGTTTACATTTACAATAGCTGTGATATTTAGAAAAACATTTGTGTAACTCTATAAAACACACACCCACAAAAGGCTCACATTAAACTGACTTAAAATTGAAATAAAGAGATAAATGGTCATGCAGTGTGCCAACTTCTTTCCATTATGAATACTGCAACATCGTAGGTTTCACCACTGCTCACCTGCTAGTCCCAGTTTAGACTCAATGTCCCCTTCAACCAAACACTTCAGCCTTCATAGAAATGTTTGAAGAAATTCTCATCTCTACCTTTCATGAAAATGCTGAGGCACACACAGTGACTTTTTAAACAGCCTCAAGACAGCCAAATGACTAGCTCAACTAAAGTAGTCCAAAGAATAAGATGCTAAAGCTTTTTTGGCAGGAGATTATGCTTGGAATGAGAGGCCTGCCAATAAGCACGAGGACAGGAATGAGTGCTTCAGTTTACAGGTAGGTTCACCGCTACAGGTTTGCAAATGGGAAGCATACAATACAATGCATATCTTTGAGATTTTAACAAGGAATAAACCTACATTTCTAAGGGACTGTGATCTTTGGAGATCTCATAGAACCATCTGTACTTCACTGGTGAAAAAACCCAACAACATTTTATTAAAAGCAAACAAACAAATCTTGCAGCTTTGTGGATTACAGCAATATGTGGAGGAATGTCTGCCTTCTGAGTGGAAAACTCAGAGCCAAGAGCCTGGGAAGAGAGCAGGGAGAGCACAGGAAGTGACTAAAATGGGCCAAACAAAAATAATAAATAGAGCGTGCCAACCAGCTGATCTGGTAACCCATTAGTACTGGGCCCATTGTTACAGACTGTACCCAATGCTTAAAGGACTCGCCCGATTAACTGCCCTGGGCTGCAGTGGTACTCATTCCAAATTCTGCTGTCTGGAACATTGAGTTTTTTTATTTTGTTTTAATCTGTCAAATTTGCTCATCTCACATAAAATCATTTTAATAGAGATGTCAACTATGTACATTATTACAAGCATGATATTTTTTATCAAAAGCTAAATATGAACATCACAGATGTGTCTGAATGCAGAGACGAGGCAATCCATGCCACCAGCCTCTGACAGGTTGTGCTAATGTTTGGTTCACCTGAGGACCTGCATAATGAAATGCCTCCTGGGAAACAATCACTCACTAAAATATACAAACGCTGCCTCTTCTCTGCAACATAGAATGTTATATAATTTATACTAAACACTCACATTGGTGTGATTCCAGAGCATACTACTGTGCTCAAACAAGACTAATATTTGGGCCGTTATGGCCTATACACCTTTGTTATTGAGAGGGATTCCAGTAACCTCTCAGGAAAAGGGGGCAGACTTACTTCACTGTGTGGTCAAAATAACTGAACTACTAAACTAATGCAGACTTTGAGTGGCGCAGAGGTTTGAATGAAGACCTATCTAAAGTGAAAATACCCAGCACAACATTTAGGGGTTGAGCCAAAAGGGAATGATGCACTACTGTATGTAACTCTCAGAACTGCATTTCCAACACAGAACAGAAAAAGGTTTAGGCTAGCTCAGACTATAGGCACATTGTATGATGCCAACCTTCTGGCCAAGGAAAAATAACTATATGGTCCTATTTCAGTACATTTGGTTTTGACATCAGTGGTTTCTTGCTATGATTGATGAAAAGGTAACATATAAAGACCATATGATTATGATAATGGAGATAACAATGATGATCAATCCAATCCATTTCTATTAAGGACATGGAAACCACAAAAAGCTTTGAAGTAGTGGCAGCCTTCAATGATAAAGAGGCACTTTGAAAGCGCAATTGTGTCTACTGTGCAGCAAAACTCAGGAATGTGTTCAATCAAACAGTCCTTTATAAATACACAAGGAAATAAAACAAGCAAACAGCTATGTGTCTCTTCCGAATCCATAAAACGCAAGCCCTGGTAAGCAAGTCAAACAAATAAAAAGTTCCCATATCAGATCTATAAACATACTGTATGAATGTAGCCCAACATAATAATAAAAATACTGTCACCAGATAGTGATAGACGAAGTTGGTAGTGTTGTGTGCTTAGTGAACGGGTGATTTGGGAAAAGGGCCTGTTGCCATCTGAAGATGCCCTTTTCTCTGCATTACTGGAAAGACTAATCATCTCTGGGCAGCTCCTGTTCATGTAACAGCCTCCACTCCTCTAATGAATGACACTGCGAAATAGAAGGGCTTGCTTGGTAGGAAAGTGAAGGGTAAGGAGTGCCACGGTCTACCACAGCAAGTCTTTCAAACTTCCTCCATTGCAGTGACTTCCCTTTGAATTATTATACAAAAGCACACACAGATATAAATTATGAACACGATGTCGCCTCCATGATGAGGCTTTTTGCATTGATTCCACAGGAGAGCAAGCCCTTCCTCAGTCTGGGCCTGCTGTCCCAGCCTCTCGCTCCATCTGCTGCTTGGTCAGGAAGTACTTAAAGAACTCATAGACTGACCATGCGATGGCAGTGGAGGGCATCTGGTATATGACCCGGGCCTGGATCCCTTTGAAGAAGGCAGCCATGCCACCGAGGCGATACACTGTCCTGAAGGCATTGGCCATGCCTGTGAGGTGACCACTGATGTGCATGGAGCTGAGCGCTACGTTCTCCTGTGTGTTGAGCAGGGTCTTACACACGTCTAGCGGGGTGGTTATGGCTGCAGACACAGCCCCCGCCGCAGCCCCAGACAGTATGTGGCTGCTGGGGTGGTACTGTCTGTGGGGGTTGAGGCGCTCCTGCATCAGCTCATAGGTCATAAAGTGGACCGCCTGGAAGGGAATGTTCATGGCCAGCTGTGTGCTGTAGCTGCGGTAGAAGGCTGCGAGCCCCTCAGTGCGCTGTATAGTCCGAACACAGTCCAACAGGTTCCGGTAGGGAGAGTTGTACATCTGCATCCGCTGTTTCACCACTAAAACACCATTAAAGACAGCACCACCACACAGACAGGGAAATTAAGAGAAGGGGGTTAATATACTGTACAAATCTAACACTCCAAAGCCCCCTTTGAAAGCCTTACCTTCAGCTGGGTTCATGACCGCGTCATGCAGCACAGTGGCCACACAGCCTGCCAGTCCTAGTTGGAACAAAGACAGAGTCAGTCAGGCCTCCGCATGTTACCACCCATCAACATACAATACCTCACGTAATAATACATCAGTTCTCACCAAGCCAATTGTTTATTCTGTTAGTTTATCAAAACTGCCAACACAACTACAACTATGGGGCCCCGTGTAGCTCAGTTGGTAGAGCATGGCGCTTGCAACGCCAGGGTTGTGGGTTCGATTCCCACTGGGGGCCAGTATGAAAAAAAATTAAAAAATATGCACTCACCTAACTAAGTCGCTCTGGATAAGAGCGTCTGCTAAATGACTAAAGATGTAAACTACCAAAACAATTAACTTCTTCCTGTGCCATGTTCCCTGACCTTCCAGTGTGTAGTGTGAGTTAGAATTCCAAGGGAAACAGAACTGTACTGCACCATTGGCTATGTGGCTGTTTCCTCCATTCTGAATGACCTCGCTGAGTGTGTGCTTGACACGTTCGTAGCAGGCAAAGTAGATGGCGTGGGCAGGGCCGGCCCCCAGCATTGTGATGTTGAGGCCCCTTAGGGGTCTGAGGAGACCCTCCGTCCGGACGATCCTTCTTAGGGCCTCGTACACGCTGCTGTACTGAGCCTTAGGGTCTGGCTGCAAACTCTGCATCCTGGTCTGGAGAAAGAAGGATATTTGAAGTGAGAGACCCTAGCTTCTCATGAAGTAGTCTATACAACCTGCTAAATTACAGACTATAGTCAAACCGCCACACTCACCTGGGTTTCGGAGGTTATAGTTTCTCCAGTGATTTTATGTCTCGCCATGTTTTTGATCATGTCTGTTCTTGGCAGAACTCATGTCCTTTCTGAGTGATGTGTGTGTGTGTGTGTGTGTGTGTGTCCCAGGCCTAGGGTGGGGGGCTGTGGCAGTTCACTGTTATACCCTGCCATGCCAAGTTATTTGGACAGCACAAACAATGATTTTATTTGGCCCAAAATGTAGTGCAGCCCAAAAGACATGCCATGTTTTATTGTTCTTAGCATTTTGCCTTGTGTTCCCCCCCCCCCCAATAATAAAATAGAAATTAAATTTCCTACAGATACATCTGGCTTGAGGGATTCATAAAACTTTGAGTTGAAGTTTGTCAAACTGAACTAAAACTCTACACAAATCACACACATTGTTGAGCACTACCTCAAGGAGCCTGATTCTGCATGTGCCTTCAAGACTAGCTTCTGTAGTCATCTTTTACTTACAGGTGACATTACTTATCTTGCATCTATCTCTCAACGTGTCTTTGAAAGGGTGAATGCAATGCCTTATCTGTAGTCTATACAACTATACACTGAGTATACAAGACATTAATAACACCTGCTCCTTCCATGACAGACTGACCAGGTGAATCCATGTGAAAGCTATGATCTCTTATTGATGTCACTTGTTAAATCCACTTCAATCTGTGTAGATGAAGGGGAGAAGACAGGTTAAAGAAGGATTTTTAAGGCTTGAGACAATTGAGACATGGATTGTGTATGTGTGCCATTCAGAGGGTGAATGGGCAAGACAAAATATTTAAGTGCCTTTGAACAGGGTATGGTAGTAGGTGCCAGGCGCACCAGTTTGTGTCAAGAACTGCACCGCTGCTGGGTTTTTCACGCTCAACAGTTTCCCATGTGTATCAAGAATGGTCCAACACCCAAAGGACATCCAGCCAACTTGACACAACTGTGGGAAGCATTAGAGTCAACATGGGCCTTCATCCCTGAGCAACACTTTCGACCCCTTGTAGAGTCCTTGCCCCGACGAATTGAGGCTGTTGTGAGGGCAAAAGGATGTGCAACTCAATATTAGGAAGGTGTTCCTAATGTTGGGTATATTCAGTATATATTTTACTGTTATTACCTAGGCAAAATGTATGGAATAAGCTAGCCTACCCATCATAACAAGGCACACCAACTAGCCAGAGATACAATTAGACAATTGAACTGAAGAGACAATGACCTTCATTCATTTATCAAACGCATACGTGCAGATTTGCTCAAACAATTCTGTACAAGGACTTTGATTTTGAACCTACTCCAATATTTGGGCAGCCCTGGTCCTCACCTGTTAAGGTTTTTCTGTTAACCTGTTTTCAGCATCTGATCCAAGCCTGGGAGAACAGAGAGGTATTGTCACAAGCTGACAAATGAGTTAGCCTAGTGAGCGTACTTTTGTAAACAAAAAGGATCTACTCAGGAAAACCTGGCTCACTGAAGTGGCTCACTATTTAACAATGTAGGCCTAATCCTTGAGCGAGTTAGGATTCAGCCCTTAGTTAACAGCAGCAGGCCTACTGCATGTCTGTAGCTTACCTCCCTATTATGTTATTATCTCAACCTCCTCATCCAAGTAATTCCATCTACTTAGCAACTTTGCTCTAGAGAAACCACAACACATTACAGCTTCACAGGATTATCTCTGCATGATATCAGTTAGGCTGCATGATGTACTGTATAATAGACATATATAAAATGTTGAAGGTTTATAGATGTATATTTAATACTATTTACTTTAACAATATAATCACATTCCTGCAGAAGTGCTACTGTAGTTGAGCTCTAAGGGGGGGGGGGGGGGGACCACACAAGCAGTTGATATGTGTGGAGAATGAGATACCCCTGCAGACGGTAGTAGTGTGACCCTGCACCCTGGGAAGGGGAGCAGGCTCAGAGCTGTAATACTGATACATGTTGGACCTCTGCCCAGGTGCTGGCCACCCCCTGTCAGAGCCTCCTTTAAGTGATAAGTAAAGTGTCCCCTCCCCTCTTAAGCATCACTGAAGTGAGACGTTTCTAAAAACAAATTGAGCGATGTGGTGAAGAAAGAGTACAGAATGAGACTGTGCTGTCAAACATTTTTCTATTTTTCTATACTCTACGCTCATTAAGTACTTCTGGGCTCAGCCTTGCAGAGAGAGACTTTGCCTGCCTCTGTCTGTAATCATTTGGCCACTTGACAAAACAGAGCTTGCTTTATCCCAGTTGGCGTTTATCACAGCCTCTGGCAATTACAACGCCTCTGGCAATTAAAATGGCTACTCTTTCTGGCTGTGCCAAAGAACTAGGAAACTAGCCTATTGATCGAATATTAGACAAACTTGGTGACCTTATTTCATCTGGTTTATTTTCTCACCTTGTCCGACAACTAAGTAATGTAAAATCTCCAACAATGTAATAATTAGGAGAAATAAATCTGCTGCATGACACACAATGAGTCATTTGTTTGCGTTGTTCTACTGCAACTGATCTTAGTTTACTACCAGGAAATGCATTCCTGATGGGCTTAAAAGGCACAGTGCAGTCAAAGGCGTGATATTTTGAGTGTTTTATATATATTTCCACACTATGACGTAGGAATAATACTGAAATTGTGAAAATGATGATAATGCCCTTTTAGTGTAAGAGCTGTTTGAAAAGGCCGCTGGAAATTTCAGCCTGCTTTGGTGGGATGGAGTTTTGGCCTGCCTGGAGACATCATCAGGCGGTATAAGTTAATAGACTAATAACAAAGTGGGTTCCAAACCTCTCTGCCAATAACAGCTAGTTCAGGTTACATATCCCTCCCATTAGTCTCATCCAATTAGGCACCTCACTCAGGCAGTCCTAGCAAAATGCTTGCTTGAGAAATTGCTCTTCACTAAGAAGCGCTATATATTTTTTTTTTAACCATTTTAATTGAAAACATATCGCAGTAAGGTACTTAATTGTTAAATATACATTATTTGATATTGAGATAAAAACAGCTACATTGGATCTTTAAGACATACTTCATAAGAGGAAGCAGTAGATCTCAAAATAAAATAACACGATTTGGTGATGACACAGTAATAAAACTATTAGTAAGTATATGCTACCAGGATCTAGGGCTAGGCTAACTCTCTGTGAAGTCATAACAAAAGTATACCACAATTCCCCTCTCCAATACATCCATGTGATCAACTCAAATAGTTTCGGTAACTGTATTTCTTAGCTAAGATTTTGGTTTTAAAAAACTCTTCACTTTCAGTTAACATTAATGGCACCCTTCCAACTGGCGAGGAGGAAGGGGACCCATTGGGCACTGGATTGGAAAAATTGCACCAGCCCATCCTGCTTATTTTGGGCTGGAGAGAAAAGCAGGGCTGGCGACAGCCAAATTCATTAAGGTTCTATGGCCAGCATAAGAAGTACTGTTTTTTCCCCACTCTTCCATGACAATGAATGGAGGTTGTAGTGTAGACATGGGGCAGGGAATCCCTGTTTCTGTGTGACACCGCTGCTTTAACTCTTCAGCAGGGAGTGACTTCATCAGCAGCAAGCTAACATCAAAAGCCTGAGAAACCTCAAACTGTAGGGGTTAAAGTCACCCTACCGTGATAGTGGTCCTCTGTAGCTCAATTGGTAGAGCATGGCGCTTGTAACGCCAGGGTAGTGGGTTCGATCCCCGGGACCACCCATACGTAAAAATTTATGCGCACATGACTGTAAGTCGCTTTGGATAAAAGCGTCTGCTAAATGGCATATTATTATTATTATTATAGAACTGGGAGACCAGAACCTACTGGAGGCTATGGACGTCAGTGTATTCTGTGTTTCTTTTACATGAAAAGTAATGATTAAATATTTGTGCATGGCATGAGTGTAAATGCACTTCAGGAGTGCATCCCATGGCTAGCAGAGGCTGTATGGCAGTTTGCTAATCAGCTGTAAAAGAGAAAGATAGTGCACACACCCTTTTTCTGTATGTGACTGATTCCAAATGCTTACACACTTGGAGATGAAGATAACACCCAACACTTCTAGTAGTAGCACAGAGAGGGACGTATAGTTACTCCCTACAACTCTCCCACAAATAGAAAGTAAGGATAGCCCAGGTCCTGTGGTGTCATTCATGTAGGTCCTAAATCTAGTACATGGGTAATTGTTTTATGAATTCATGTAGCCTTTGTGAATTCTCAAGTTTGTTTGTCCACACTCAAAAATAAAGATTGTCAGTTATAACAATCATTATTACAAAGGAAAGTCAACAACCAGGTTATTGTTTCCTTACTTTACCAAGACTTGGTCAACACTTTCCTGCACTGTCACACGTCTCTCCTGAGACGAGAAATCCCCCTTGTGCCCTCTTTCTTCATCCCGTCTTCTCTGTGATTGCTTAATAGCCTCTGAGAAATGTCAGCCACTGAATAGGCCAAGCCCAATGACATACAATTGAAGTGATGAGCTTTTTTGTTGTTGTCATGTTTCCCCATGTCACTAAACTTTTAGACCTAAGATACAGTATTTTTGTGGACAATTAGAAGTAGGCCTATAGGATATCTACATAACTCTAAACTATTCCTTCATAAAAAATAAGTTTATAGCATGGTCGTCCACGAAATGAGTTCCTTTTGCATCCCTTTGATACGGTAAGTAGAAATTGTGCACCAATATTTAATTTTAAGAGGAATAAAGACTTGCTAAAGTGCCAAAATGCAGCATTTTGATATGTCCCTCTGTGCATCCTCTAACTTCTAGAAAGATTAACCCACTTAACCCCAAATCATTTCAAGTTTCACCAAATAAAAGCAGGTGAGCTGGATCTACTCTAACTACTACTCCATTTACTGGTGGAACACTGAATGGGTCGAGCATAACACGTCAGCCCTGTTACCCATAGACAGGCTAGACATTTTTTAACAATGTAAATTTTTTTGTGAAGCTTGCATTCAATTGCCCCGTCACAAGGGGATTTAGGGATGATTTAAGATGAAGTCGTCAACTTTTTTTGTGTGTTTTTTTCGAGATGGGAAAACATGTTTTTTTTGTGAACATGTGATCTTTATGACAGAATTATAACATTTGGTGAAATAAAACGTTTTTTCACTAAGTTACTGCACTCAAAAGGCACCTAATTGGTGGAACAATGTGGCTATGTTTGGCTGTGTGTTGACCAGACGTGTAAAGTCTGGCTCTAAAACCTTCAGTTGTAAGACGGACAGCGTGAAAGGTCCAACTACAGATTCTTGCAGTTACAGAGGAGGAAGTGGCGACAATGGCTTGTGTAACCCTGTTGAATAGACACACAGGCTAATTTGGCTCCATGTCCGATCATCTCATTCTGATGGTCTGACTGAGATTTAAAAAGTTGGACTATGTAGCCTATACCTTTTTTGCCACAAGCTTTATTCTGTGTAGGGTGTTCTCTGTTGATGTGTCAAGTCAAAAGTGTTTCTATGTACATGCAATGTACTTCAATAAATGTGTATGAATGAACTTCACTGAATGAGCTGGGGAAATAATAACAACCGGTATGCAATGAGGGGGCATAGCAGGGGACAAAGTTCACAGCCACTTAAACTTAACTTGTATGTCCTCATATTATAGGTTACCTAGAAGCCCATAAACTTTGACTCTAGTCCAGGAATAAACAATTTGGTTTAGTATATTTTACATTGAACCGTGAAACAATATTAACCACTATCTACAGTTTGCCACAGTGTCAATTACATTTGAGCACCTTTGACAGCTCTAACCTGGCGCACAGCCATGTGACCGTCACCTTTTTGCCTCAATTGTCTGACAATCAGTTTAGTAAGTTCAGATGTGGGTACAGTCAAGAATTGTATAGAACAAATGGGCACTCTGTGTGGGCAATGTCAGAGAGTTATGTCTACATGTGCAGGCTTCACTCTGAACTTGAAGGCTGATGGTTTTGAAAGTTTTAGCAAACAAGCTAGCTAACTAAGCTAGTTAGCAGTTGTAGCTAAGTGTGCGGCTAAATACTGGAAAAGTTCAATTGCATGATGTTTCATTAATTAACAGGGCCAGTACGTTCAGGGAGACGGGGTATTTCACATATGCGAGCGAGTGTATTGCTATGCAAAGGCATGTCTCATAACGCGTAAGTTAGCTGGCTAGTAGCTGGCTAATTAGCGCTAGCGTCTAGCCAACTACCTAGCGTTCACACATGTAAAACTGGTAAGGTTATTTCCTCCCCTGCTTGCTGATGAGCTGGAACGCAGAAATGCATAATGATACGAATGAAAATGGTTATTGAGCCCATCACTTGGTTGACAGTTGTTGATGGGCTAGCTAGCTAGCTAGCATGCCTACCTTGACAGAGTCCACGGGGTACATCACGGTGTGCTCCAGGATTCCAGCCACGGCTCCGGCTGTCATGTGGATTGTCAATGAGGCATGAGGTGGCAAACTCTCGTAGTCACCGTCGCCTTCCGAAAGCTCTCCATCTTTACCTTTAATATCCGACATCTCCAAGGTTGCCACCACCGGGTCAGCGCACAACTCCATGCGGGGGAGACTGATCAAAATGAGATCTTTACACACAAGCACTAAATCGGCGGCATGGATAACCACAACATCATCAACGAGTTCGAGCGCCTAGATGACGTCAAAAGAATACACGATAGCTGTCTAGTTTGAGCAATGAACATCCAGAAAATCGAAAATGAGGCGGGACCAACAGCCGGAATTGTCCAATGAAAAGTAGCCCGCAAGTGATAGCCTGTTCACAGAATTGACAGAGCTTTTCAATGAGGGGGTTCGATTAATCTCGTCCTGGCGCTCTTGTGTGCGTGTTTTGCACCGGCTGCAAATTGATCGCATTCGATTTGGAACCGGGCTGCCTCCCAGACCTGAGCCAGATGCCCCGCTCTGTCCGACCGCGAAGTCTGCTCAAAACAAAAATGATTTAGTTAAACACGTGGGATTAGTAGGCTTCTGTGTTTTCCCATGCAAAGGGGATTGCTTTTGATAAAAACGGTTAATCTGCCTTCCCAATGAAAACTTCTAACATTTGTTTTATGGAAAATACATGTTGTATGTTTCTGGAAGATGCATCATGCTGCTGCTTTGTTGACAACATAACTGAGCCCTGCAGATTACTGTTCAAATTGAGAAAGGCACTCCTCTCTCCCGCTTTCGGCCAATGAAGTGATGGGCCATTGACCAGTTCAACCCTCGGCAGCTTAAATAATTCCCTCATTGACCATAATATGGACAAAATGGTCACAAAGGTCATTGATCCCTGTCTATTTCAAAAGTAATACATTTTTACCCTTATTAAAACATAACCTACAATGCCAATATAATACAGCATGTGGCATGAGGAAGCACTCATAATATCATCAACATGAGCAGAGGGCTGCTAGCATGGAGAAGCCTACAAGGAGTGGAAACAGGCTAGGCTGCTGCATATTAAAACTCCTGCTGATGTATGTCATGATGATAGTGATGTAGCACATTCTTTTCTGAGCCTTTTTTTTCTATGAAGTTTATTTGTCAATGGTAGGCCTACTTATGATGTTTAATGCATACGGCACTGCATATGCCATATTGCATAAAGGTAAACTTAAATAAGAAAAACTTTTTTTTAATGATTTGTTTTGGTGGTATGTAGGGTGTATTCTTCACCGAGGGCGGGTGCCTTGGTGTGTAGATTAGCAGGGTTGTGGTCCCCTTATCACACAACATCTGTTTAGTAAATGGTAGTAAAGCAATCTGAAACAGACAATGTTCAACCTCACCCTTTTTAGTAGAAGTGTGTCTGCCCCATTTGTGGTTTCCTATGTGGTTTTCCCAGACCAACAAGCCTGTATGATTGAGACTTGAGACTTGTTGCTTTGAAGTTACAGATATAGGAACTTAATTTGAGCCAGTTTGCTATAGCAGGAAAATAATCATGCAGGCTGCAGCAACAGGAAATTTGAATTATTATGTGGATCATAATTACTGGACATTTTTGTAGGGGTTGATACATTTTTCGAAAGGGAAAATTAAGCCTTTTTAAACCTCAAATTCAAATAAAATAAATGTGTATTTGTCATGTGCCGAATACAACAGGTGTAGACTTTACCGTGAAATGCTTACTTACGAGCCCTTAACCAGCAATGCAGAGTTGCAAAAAAGTTAGTACGAAAAATTTGCTAAATAAACTAAAGGAAAAATAGTAAATCAATTTTATAACAATAATGAGGCTATATACAAGGGGTACCGGCACCGAGTCAATGTGCAGGGGTCCAGGGTTAGTCGAGGTAATTGAGGTAATATGTACATGTACAGTACCAGTCAAAAGTTTGAACACACTTACCCATTCCAGGATTTTGTTCGAATTTCTTTCCATCTTAATGCCTTTGAGCCAATCAGTTGTATTGTGACAAGCTAGGGGTGGTATACAGAAGATAGCCATATTTGGTAAAAGACCAAGTGGCGCAGTGGTCTAAGGCACTGCATCGCAGTACTAGCTGTGCCACTAGAGATCCTGGTTCAAATCCAGGCTCTGTCGTAGCCGGCCAAGACCGGGAGACCCATGGGGCGGCGCACAATTGGCCCAGCGTCATCCAGGGTATGGGAGGGAATGGCCGGCAGGGATGTAGCTCAGTTGGTAGAGCATGGCGTTTGCAACGCCAGGGTTGTGGGTTCGATTCCCACATGGGGCCAGTATGAAAAAAAATGTATGCACTCACTAACTGTAAGTCGCTCTGGATAAGAGCGTCTGCTAAATGACTAAAATGTAAATATTATGGAAAGAACAGCTCAAATAAGCAAAGAGAAACGACAGTCCATCATTACTTTAAGACACGAAGGTCATTCAATCCTGACATTTTCAAGAACTTTGAACGTTTCTTCAAGTGCAGTCACAAAAAACATAAAGCGCTATGATGAAACTGGCTCTCATGAGGACCGCCACAGGAAAGGAAGACCCAGAGTTACCTCTGCTGCAGAGGATATGTTAATTAGAGTTAACTCTACCTCAGATTGCAGCCCAAATAAATGCTTCACAGAGTTCAAGTAACAGACACATCTCAACATCAACTGTTCAGAGGAGACTGCGTGAATCAGGCCTTCATGGTCGAATTGCTGCAAAGAAACCACTACTAAAGGACACCAATAAGATGAAGAGTCTTGCTTGGGCCAAGAAACACAAGCAATGGACATTAGACTGGTGGAAATCTGTCCTTTGGTCTGATGAGTCCAAATTTGAGATTTCTGGTTCCAACTGCCGTGTCTTTGTGAGACGCAGAGTAGGTGAACGAATGATCTCCGCATGTGTGGTTCCCGCCGTGAAGCATGGAGGAGGAGGTGTGATGGTGCTTTGCTGGTCACACTGTCTGTGATTTATTTAGAATTCAAGGCACACTTAACCAGCATGGCTACCACAGCATTCTGCAGCAATACGCCATCCCATCTGGTTTGGGCTTAGTGGGACTATCATTTGTTTTTCAACAGGACAATGACCCAACACACCTCCAGGCTGTGTAAGGGCTATTTGACCAAGAAGGAGAGTGATGGAGTGCTGCATCAGATGACATTGCCTCCACAATCACCCGACCTCAACCCAATTGAGATGGTTTAAGATGAGTTGGACCGCAGAGTGAAGGAAAAGCAGCCAACAACTGCTCAGCATATGTGGGAACTCCTTCAAGACTGTTGGAAAAGCATTCCTCATGATGCTGGTTGAGAGTATGCCAAGAGTGTGCAAAGCTGTCATCAAGGCAAAGGGTGGCTACTTTGAAGAATCTCAAATATAAAATATATTTTGATTTGTTTAACACTTATTTGGTTACTACATGATTCCATGTGTTTTTTCATAGTTTTGTTGTCTTCACTATTATTCTACAATGTAGAAAATAGTAAAAATAAAAATAAACACTTGAATGAGTAGGTGTGTCCAAACTTTTGACTGGTACTGTAGGTAGGGGTAAAGTAACTATGCATAGATATTAAACAGAGAGCAGCAGCAGCGTATGTGAAGAGTGTGAAGGAATGTGAATGTGTGTGTGTGTGGCGTCAATATGCATGTGTGTGTGTGTGTGTGGTTTGAGTCCAGTGGGTGTCCATCGAGCCTGGGGAAGAGTCAGTGCAAAAAATAAGAAACAAGGGGGTCAACGCAAATAGTCCGGGTAGCCATTTGATTAACTGTTCAGCAGTCTTATGGCTTGGGTTTAGAAACCGCTTTTGGTCCCAGGCTTGCCGCTCCAGTACCGCTTGCCGTGTGGTAGCAGAGAGAATAGTCTATGACTTGGGTGGCTGGAGACTTTGAGAATTTTTAGGGCTTTCCTCTAACACCGCCTGGTATAGAGGTCCTGGATTGCAGGAAGCTCGACCCCAGTGATGTACTGGGCCGTACGCACTACCCTCTGTAGCTCCTTGCGGTTGGATGCCGGGAAGTTGCCATACCAAGCAGTGATGCAACCAGTCAGGATGCTCTCGTCGGTGCAGCTGTAGAACATTCTACAGCCCTGTTGATGTGAATGGGGGCATGCTCGGCCCTCCTTTTCTTGTAGTCCATGATCAGCTCCTTTGTCTTGCTCATGTTGAGGGAGAGGTTGTTGTCCTGGCACCAAACTGCCTCCTCTCTATAGGCTGCCTCATCGTCTTAGGTGATCAGGCCTACCACCGTTGTGTCGTCGGCAACTTAATGATGGTGTTGGAGTTGTGCGTGGCCACGCAGTTGTGGGTGAGCAGGGAGTACAGGAGGGGACTAAGCACACACCTGAGGGGCCCCCTTGTTGAGGATCAGCGTGGCGGATGCGTTGTTGCCTACCCTCACCACCTGGGGGCGGCCCGTCAGGAGGTCCAGGATCAAGTTTTAAATGTCCTGCATTGCAGGAAAGTTCTCCTGCAACAAGGCAATCAAATTAAGATCCTACACCTTTACTTAACTATAATCAATGCAGTTATGGCAGCCATGAAGGCCATGAAGAAGACATGTAGATTAAGTAGCAAGCAACATATTCAGTCATGCTTACTATAGTGGAAGTATTGTTTTCAACATTTAAAATGATATACAAATTATTTTTAGTTATTCAAGTGCACAGATTAGGTTTCAAGTATCAAAGTTTATTCGCCACGTGCACAGGATACAACAGGTGTAAAAGAGTACAGTAAAATTCTTACCTTGAGAGCTCTTTCCCAACAATCCAGTGATAATAATAATCAGAGGCGATTTTAGCATGTAAATATTGGTGGGGGAAAAAAATGGGATGCATGCCAGCAAAGCCACTACACAAACAACACTAAACAATACATTAATTGCACTATAACAGTGACAAACGGTGCCCACAAACTTTTAGGGCCTACATTAAGCTGTCCAAACAGCAGAGGCCCAACAGCAGTCCCAACATCTTACCACTGCTACACCTAGCTATCAGCGGAGCCTTATCTGGCAGCGAAACAGTTCATTCAGCCTCATTTACTGCCTTTAAAAAAACATAGCTGATATGGCTGACTTGCTTAAACAAATGTGGTTTCTAATGACAATTGAGATGTACAAACTATGGCATAAGGGGATGACAAGCGGATAAGAGGCAATCCGTAATTTCGATTAAGACATTAATGAGCGAACTATTTGTTTAGCACTTTTGAAATGTACAGCGACAGAATTCAGAACAGGGCCGTTCTTACAGTGTTCTCCCTGTACACCAAGGCAGAACGGTAGGATAAATAAAGGGGGCATTTAAGCAGACA